ATTAAGACACGCTAAAAGATCATTTTAACAGGAAATTTCTTACTTATTTCATAAAAAGTGTGTATATTGAGAGTATTTGTACACGGTCGTCGTATATGTATCGGTCTATCATGCATATTGTGAATAAAGTCATGCATACAGCAAATAGGAAATTTTTGATCTATTGTAACTTATGTTTACTTAATATCTCTTTTATCGTTAAGTCTTATCGCAAAATACGAAAAAGATATCTGCCTTGTTTTATCCTTTGTCTTATGCTATTTATAAAGTGCACAAAGCAAAAATACGTAATTTCGGGAAGGTATAAAAAAGAACCAACATTAATCACAGGCATAATTTTACCTAGTTTGTAATTGTCACATCAGGTTTATAAGCTCGTCAATATGAAGGTAAGGATTCTTGTCGTTTAGAAATATAGCAGTTTCTTTTTTCCACCTTAGGATTGTATAATATTGCCCGTTTTGATAATCCTGATCGCCTTCCATTTCGCGAATGCTCAGTTCAGTTTGGGTTGCACCCTTTCCTGCACCATTTGGAACGTGTGTCGAACAAGGCAGTCCATTTTTGGAAACCTGGTTGCTTGTGGTGCACAACCAGCAGGTTGTGACTGTACTCATTTTGTATGGGAGGGATAACTACTTTTAATTTGTTGTGCTTTATATATTATAATTGATTCTACTGTGTATCTTTAATGTGGGCCAATAAAGAGAAATTCTAATGCATTATGTTTATACTTATTATTTTTCATATTTCTGTAAGCTTTCAGTTCGCATTAAGACTTTCGACAACTCGCATCGCTTAAAAGTTTAAAGCTTTAAAACTAAAAGCTCTTTTTAAATACGATTTTGGTAATCTCGTCTTAAGTACTAACCAGATGTCCCGTATTATATGTATATACCGGATTGTCCCTTATTTTCAATTTTTACGATAACTCCGTACTGTAGTAATCAAATGTTATGATTCAGTATCCAGTTTAAGCCCTGGTTTAAAGAATTTGATACCTACGTTAAATTTCTATAGAGATTAAACGTAAAGTAAACTTAAGCTTAAACCGGGCTTCTGGAAGATACGTAATAAATCACGACAGATATTTTGATTTGTGGAATGTGATTATGTGGTTGTAAAATACTCTCTCTCTCTTTATGATAAAGATTGGGTGAGCGAAGGGATTGAGAAAAACGTCACATGCCCTGAATACCTACATGACTAAAGAGCTTTCGGTCAAGACACAAATCAATAATTTTGGCTTTTGAGTATGAGATTTTTTCCAATAAATCGGCGAACTTTTACTAGTTGTGCATTTAGTGTACAATATATTTTAAACAATACCAATAGCCACAGAAACAGGGCTTCATTACCACATTTTATATTATAGACTGAAATGTTAATGATGGCGTAACAGTATTCATTTACCCTTAAGCAATGTACAGGCGATATAGAAAAAAACCTTTTTCTCTTCATTTATTCTTTATCAAAAATACCTTTGCGTTTTATTTACTTTGTTGTCATTATCAAGGTATGGGAAATCACAAAATAATCCCTTTGTACAGTTTATAGATATTTGTCTGTAATCAGTTGTGAGATAAGGAATTGGAAAAATATTTAAAAAGAAAGTTTACTTTGGTGAAGTTCATAGATTTACTACTGTGGTTTGCTAAATTTTGCTAAAACATGAAGGTGAGGGTCGAGGGATTAATATTTGGAATGATGGAGTCTTACATTTTATGTAATTTATAGGGCTGTATAATATTGTCTGCATTGTTAATGGTGGCGGTATGCACTCTCACCACTACAAATGCTAAATATGTGAGTTTGAGTGATATGTTATGTAGCATATGGAAAGCGTGTCATGAAGAGGCTAGCAAAAATTTGCAGAATTGCGGTTCACGGCCCAAAGACTGCAGAGTTCAGTTAACTGCATATGGACAGTGAGTTGGACAGTAAAGTTTTATGTAGATGTTAATATTATACTATGAATCTTTTTTTTTTAATTAAAAATGCGCAGAAACTGGGTTTTTATCTTTGAGCTCATGAATCGCAAGTCAATAAAATAATTCTCTGAAGATTACCAAGTAGTTAACAAACGCAGAGGATTGTTTCATTACTGACTAGTCATCTCTTTGCAAAAGGCTCGAGGGACATAATTTTTTTCGGTGTACGGTATTTTTATTGCAAGATAACATATATGTATGTACCTTCTTAACGAGAGATCATATTGAAATTATTCATAGTCGATTGTTGTTTTATAGGTTTAGCTCAATTTACCTGCAAATTAATATCTGGTAGCTAATTTGCACATAGGTATACCTACGTACCTATGTAATTCATTCTCCTTAGTGTCTTAGAGTTAATGCAATTTTTTTCTACACTTCGTACATAATGAACACTTAATTATAGTCTGTCCCAGAAATCAGAAAGTAATACATCAGAAGAAATTTCAATATCTGTAGAACCAACCAGCTACATCGATGGAACAAAATTTTCCATCACCGAAGGATGGTTTTCTATAATGATGTCACCATCGTCGCAACATCAAAAATTGAAAAACGTTTTTATGATTATTTCGTGAAGAATAATCAAAATGTGGAACTGTTAGCATATACGCCATGGATCTAATAATTCTGTTGAAGGATAGACTAATTGTTTGCATTAAACGTTGAGGAAATCCCATCCATCGATTTTTCAAATTATTAGTGTATTGGAGATGGAGGCAGAATTACGGATTTCGTGTGCCACGTTATGAGCTGCAAGTAAATAACGGGGATTCTCTCCGAAAAGTTCCCCTATAATAATAATGATAAGATAGGAGAATGTATTGATAGATGTATGATAGAAGTGTAGGTACGTCTTTCGACGATTTAAAGACGTTGTACAGGTCTTTGAATATGCTTCTTTTTGAACGTTGAATTATGTACCTACCTATAAATGTTTTCTTACCCGCATTACTTTCTTAAACCATTCGTACATAAATGTTTATTTTACTACAAATATAAAAACACACTCCATTTTTATCTTTCATTATCTCGTAGGTACCTATATAATGAGACAATACCTGGTAATTTTTTATTTAACCATAAGGAAAATGATAAATAATCTAGGGAGGGAGCAAATAAAACAAGCTGTATCATGTAAAGCATTAGCTTGAGACTGTTGTATTTAACGTAGGTTTCTAATTTCATCATTATGAAGGTAAGGGTTGCTACTATGAAATGCGAAATCTTATGTTGTTTGATTTATAGGTTTGTTTAATATTTTTCGTACTGTTAATGTCGATTATGTGCATTGATGCCGGTCGTATAAGCTTGCGTTGTACATTGAAATGCGGAATTTGGAACGCATGCAGAATAATGGCCATCAGATCGGGAAATCTGAACAAATGTGGTCGACAACCAAGACGCTGTAACTGTTCACGATTTGCGTGGGAGGGTTAAACGCTTGTGTATTAAGAACATCGTTGATCTGTTGCATTTTGTATAACTTAAAGTTACACTTGTATACAATGTATATATAATCAAAGAGTACCCATAATTACTCTTTGATATAGGTAACCAATTTTATTTATCTTACGCGCTTAGGTATAAACTTATGATGACAATCACAAACTAGGTAAACGTATGCCTCTGAACTGAATAATGATAGCTCTTCTTTTATACCTTCCTAAAGTAACTTATCTAAGTATTGGTTTAAGCACTAATAAAAGTATAACACAAAGGATAAAACAAGGGAATTACTTTTTTCGTATTTTCCGCTAAAATTATGATAAGGGTTAATAAACTTTCTAGTGTATAGAAGTAGGGAGAAGCCGAGGAGCCCTTTTTCTGTCCCATGATCACATTACAAAAATAGCAATTTTTTACGATGGCAGATGAGCTTTAGGTGACTTCACTGATTAAGTAGTACCTACTTCATGAATACATGTATAGTTAAACGATATTCTTACATGTGTCGTTCGAGATGTCACTCAAACCGGCAGTCAACAAAAAAAGCAGTGGCTGAATTTGTAAATGCAAAAACTTCATGGCGCTATAAATCAAAAGCAATTCGCAAATGTCAGAAGGGTTTTCAATTCAGCATAAGAACAATAAAATGTTCTGCTATAATTGCGTTTGATAGGTACTTAAATAAATAAGTAAATATTGAGGCATTTTTCGAACTACAAAAACGGAAAGTTAAGCTTGCAAGAAGTACAGTTCATTTTAAAATAAGTTGCAGTTAAATTCGATTTCTTGGTTTTGCTTTTTGTACCAGTCACCACTTAGACATCGTTTTGGATCAAACAGTTTATCGGTTAGCTTTGTGGGGAGACAGTTTGGGTCCATTCTTTTTAGTTTTTACTTTTACCATTGAATAAAAACAGTGTTTTATTCAATGCTTTTACTTGATCACCGAATCAATTGCGCTCATAACCAGCTATGTATTTTATAGCATAATTTGGTGATTCAGTATTGTACGAGATAATAACACGACAATACGCACCCTTTCGGTATTTCAGAAGTCGGCGTTAGCATGCAATGTTATGTTTAAACCCCAATATATTCAAAAAATGTCCAGAAGGGCAAATATTTTCAAGAATCCAATCTTTTCAACTTCCAAGGTGTTTTTATTTCAGAAATCAAATTCATTAATGGATGCAATTTCATATTTGATAATTCATTGTCGTAAATATATTGAAAAATGATAATACGTTCTTAGTTCAACTAAAACGGGATCTTAATTAAAATTTTTATTGCAGTCTGCACAACTAGAGGTATCGTAATCATCGAGGTAAGTAATTATAAGAAGAAGAAAATCCAGAGTCGACATGTAGTTTGAGAGTAGTTTCACTGTGTACAAACAAACAGACATTTTGTTTGTTTATTAAACAATGGTAGATGATATATTTATTAGACGTACTGTTTAGGTATATGTAATTTACATGTATTAGAATTTTGACCGTCTCAAACGGGCTTTATTAATGTTCCTCCTACCTATACCAACTAAAAATAGCATAAAATATCATCTGTATTAGAATTTCTATTTATTGACCCACATTAAAGATATATAGCACAGTAAATCAAAGTATAATAATATTTAAAGTACAAATTTATCAAACAAAAGGTAATTATCCTTCCCATGCAAAATGGGTACAATCACAACCTGCTGGTTGTGGACCGCAACTCTCCAGGTTTCCGTGACTGGCCTGTTTTATTCGACACGCATTCCAAATGCCACAGGAAATGGTACAGCCCCAACTGATCTGAGCATCCGCGAAATTGAAGGCACACGCGATCAGCACTACCAAAGCGAGCAATATTATACAACCCTAAAAGGAAGAAAAAGGAACTTTATATTTCTAAAAGACAAGAATCCTTACCTTCATATTGACGACTTGTGACAATCACAAACTATGTAAACTTATGACTCTGAATAATGATGGTTCTTCTTTTATACCTTCCTACTATCTATTGCTTTATCTATTTATAAAGGATACCTAAATCAGGGAATTACCTGTTTCGTATTTTGCGATAAGATGTTTATATTAGCTTATGATAAAAGAGTATTGAAAGCTTCCTATTTACTGTATGACTATGTCGTTATGGGGACTTACTAAACGAATTCAACGAAGTAGGGAAGAACGCTTTTTCTATACCCATGATCACATATGTTATGCGCTAATAGCAATGTTTAGACGCAATTTAACTTTTGACCAAGATGACCAATGGTGCTTTGGCGATTTCATCTTATTAAGTAGGGCTTCATATCCAAAAAATGCCCAGAAGTGCAAATGTAATTCAATTCTTATCCAGGATGTTGTTAATTCCATAAATCAAGTTCATATTTGACTTTCGCGATAGCAGACACTAACAAAAGACTAGACGATTTCCAAAATCCAAGTAGTGGTCAAAGCTCCAGAACTCGATTTTTCATTTTATACGTAACAAACAATAACACCATTTAGAATCAGGCATTTTACTTCATAAACATCAATGGATATATTCTCTAAATTGCTTAAACCCTATAAATCCCATAATCTTGATTCAAACCCAGGCCTTTCTACAATAGGTATTCTCCAGCATTCGGCGATAATTCATTTGTCGTAGTCTACAAATTTGCAAATAGAAATAGATCAAATAGATCGATTGTATAAAGGAGGTGTTAAAAGCGTTGACATTGAAACTATTACTGTAGTTTGAGGTATCGTAATTATCGAGATAATTATCACACATAGAGAAAATCCAGAGTCGACATGTGGTCTGAGAGTAGTTTCACTGTGTACAAACAAGCGGACAGACAGATATTTATACAGGTATCGACACAAAAAAAAATTGGGTTGAGGGCATCCGCACTCCCAACTTAGCTGGACTAAAAAATTCCACAAATGGGAGATTCTAAATGGCGGAAAAATCTAATTAATTTCTAAGAGAAAGACTGATATTATCATTGTTTATTGCACAATGATGGATGTTATATTTATTATACGCACTGTTTAGGTAAATCTAATTTACATGTAGAATTTTGACCGTAATTCGAGTTTGTTGATAACGAGCGCCGATTCGACTACCCCTCGAAGACGCGCACCTTGCAAAAGGTGGTTAATTTCGCACTTTTAGGAAAAAACAAAATTCCCTCACGCAAGAGTTGTGCGCGTATACAAGACCTTTCCGTCGACACGAATTTGAAAACAATCGAACCAAAATTGTAGAAGAAGATAGAAAAATACTGAAAATTCTACGTATACGTGCACTTCTCTTCTTTCTACAAGCGTTCTTCTACGGGCTCTCATTTGCTGCCAGCCAGCCTACCATCCCGCCAACCGGCTAAAGGGAATTTAAAACCTACCTTTTTACATAAACTTGCAAAAATGCTATAAAAAGGGCTAGATCAACCTTTATTAAGTCCTATAATATAAACATTATTATTACCTACCTAAAAACAATTTGTTTTCATTTTAAGTTAATTGTACTGCAATTTTAATTTGATGTAGCTTGTTATTTGCAATTGCTTTTGGCTGCTAACCTAATAAATGTAAATAAATCTAAAATTCCCCAAAAGAACAGTCACAATCTGCTGGTGGAGGACCGCAAACCTCCCGGTTCCCTCCATATTTCATTCGACACGCGAGCCAAATGTTGCAGTTAAAGGTACAACCCGCAATGATACCATCCGCGAAATGGAAGGCACACGAGATTATCATTACCAAAACAGGCAAAATTATACAACCCTGAAACCAATAAAAAGAACTCGCATATTACTAAAAGACGAGAGATTTCTTACCTTCATATTGACGAGCTTATAGCCCTGTGACAATCACAAACTTAGGTCTCGGAATAATAATAATTCGTCTTTCATAGCCCGTCCTAAAGCTTCTTATCTTACCTATTGATAAAGATAAAGATATTTATATTTAACTTATAATGGAATTTTTGTACTGACTGGCTGACTGGCACCAAATGAGGACCTTGTAGACTTTGAATTTGCAGTTTAACTAGCGAATAGAATACTGATCTGCCACACATAAATGCCCTAAATTTGTAAAAATGCGCCAAACAAAACTGTAAACGTATCCCAGAATCGTTTAGTATTTGAAGAGGGTATCACTTGTTACATGTTACGACAGTTCGCCATTTGAGACGGAATTTACATCAAATTTAAGTGTGGATTGTATGTTATGTAAATTGCGTCTCAAATTTTATGTTAAGCCGCTTAAGCAACCAATACAGCCTCAGAGGGTGGTTCAAATCCGTCGCGCACCATTGGGATTTCCGTAACGGTCTGCAAAGATTCAGTGTAGGTTAAATTGGGGCAAAGTTGTCCCGTGTTGTGACTAAAAACGCATTTGGAATGTTGAAAAGTGTTTAAAAATAACTGAGAGATCACCGAAAAACTTAAAATGTCAAATTTCTTTGAAAGTCAAGATACATCCAACCAACAATTAATCAAATGATTATATTAAACTTTGTATATACTTAAGACAATGTTAATGTACAGTAGAATGACTTAAATATCTACAGCATATTATCTCAAAAAGTGAAAATTTCTTCCGCATCACTAACCAAAACTCCTTCTCCATTAACAGCGGCCACTGCTTCAAAAAATGCATTGGGACGAGGCCACCCCGATTCCGAAAGGAACTTCTTAACAAAGGCGTCCAGTTTTTTACCAAGTTCTTGATGAGTTTTGCGACTGTTTACTATTTCAAAAATGTCATGACTCACTTTTCTGCTCAATTCGCGATTACCATCGATTGTTACCTAAAAAATATAATAAACAGGTGATCAACAAAAATGTGAAAATTTACATTCACTCTTCCAATCGACATTGATACTTTGCTGGGCAGCATACCGCCAGATTTTTTAATGGCGACAGTTGTGCTACAGTGAAAGTTTTTAAAACTGAAACTGAAAGGAACATATAGATTAAGAATAACAAAATTATTTGTACCTTCCGTCGCCGTTGAATGCGAAATTGGGTAGGTCGCTGCTGAATGACTTTATCTCTCCAGAAACGTAAGGCAGAGTAAACTGATATTTCAGTACGGTAACAAAACGATTGGCGCTAAGGAATTTGGAAGTTCTCACATTTGAAAGGCCTTTTATGTGAGCCTCGGTGAAGTTAAAATAATGCCCATTTATCCTTATGGATTGATTAGCTACTTTTAATGGATCGCGTAACACAAATTTCTCCGCGTAATTGTCAAGAATATCTTTCAAAGTTCCGAGTTCTACAGACGCACGTTCCTCCAAAAAATCACCGGCAAAGGATAGGTAATCATCTTCCAGTGCTGCAGCTGCAATCACAAAGCAAGTAAAGATCACAAACAATTTCATTTTGACGCGATCGTAGGTTATTATTACTGCTTTTGGATCTAGCAAACTTTCCTTATATATCAAAAGGTAGACAAAAGATGATAGTTTTGTTTTGCACAATTTGGGGATGAATCACTTTGGCTTATCAATTTGTCATTGGGTAAGGGGGGAAGTACCAAACTGAATTATTGGCAGGTCCCGTGAAACCTTAATGTTTGTCCAGACATAGTGTAAATAAACAACAGGCGATTATCGTATCTGTAGATACCCACACATTTCCTAATTGATCTTGCCCATTTCTCTTGTACTCTACGACTTAAGTAAGGGGGATGGAAATATATGAACTCATTATATACTTGAGGACCATTCCTCTCGCTATTCCTCTTACGAATCGCATCAATTAAATGCGTTAATTAATTAAAGGTCGAATATTGATCATTAGGATCATAAGTACGACATGCGTTTATGACTATCATTTATATCTTATCTTCCCTTTGTAGTTGAATGTCATCATTTCAAGGACGTTCGTGAAATCTTTTGTCACTAAATAAGGGGTTCGGTAACCTCTTTAGCTTAGGCTTAGATGATGGAATTTTTTGGATGAATATTTTGGTGAGATTATTATTACAAAAAACTGGTGACTTTTTTAGTCATATAATTTACATGGTAACAAATGCTTTTTTTTCGTTTAATGTCATACTTATTCACGGCCCCCGTGAAATCGCACACTTTTCATTCTTTCCTAAAACTTTGGCAAACAGCCAGTTTATATATGTCAACTGCCAATATAATAAACGTTCACGCTACTTTTGAAACGGTTACCTATTAATGAGGTGCCCTCTTCGTTACCTATGCCAAAAAATTAAGTCAATTAAGAGCGATCATAGAAAACTTACTTTAGTTTTTGACATTACGGCACAGAGCAGTTAAATGATTCATGAAATAAACACGCGATAGACCATTCACCTAGTTCTTTAAAAATAATAGGCTGCCAAATTAACTGCTAACAATATTTAAATTTTTCTTTAAGCACAGGAGCTGAAAAACACGGTGTGTCAACGTGACAAGTAGTAGGTAAATGGCGCCTTATGGTTCATCAGCAGCAACTTATAATTAAAAACGAGGACTTTGCAATGGCACAAGACTCATCGCTAGGAGTCAACATAATAGAATGTACCTATTATTTTTAAAAAAGTAGTTGATACGGTACGTAAGGAAATGGGAAGCGCATATAACGAAAAAAATGTTGATAATTGAGATGAAGAACGACACGGGAGAGACCAATACAATTATAGCTGCTTACAGGCCTAATGAATAAGACGGAAAAGTGGTGAGGAAAAACAAAATTTGGACGATCTAAACTTGGTGATAGAGAGCAGTAGAGGAAAGTAAGAATTAGAGTAAAAAAAGTAGCGCCCACCTCACAGAATCCTCGATATCAAAATTTAAATTCGTCATCCCAAAACATGTAGTGTTTCTAATTATTACTCCAAATCCACCTGAAAGGCTCATAGGTTACGTTTTTAAAGGTATCATTGTAAATGTCAATTTTAACCAATTCATTGTAGCGTAGTTCAGATTCTGGAAACTGCTACACTCTAAACAAATAATTTTGTCACTATCGAACACAGTTGTCACAGCTCTTTTTAAATTCCAAGTGCGGGGAATTTTTGGTTTTGAGTCATCGATCACATAAAGAGAACTTGTGGGTGTCTGTCGTCAGTGTGGTACTTGCACACAGTCACTAGGAGTATTATTCTATGGGAAGAACATTAACCTTTCACAACCGAGCATTGGTTTGGCAAATTTCATAGTAAGATATTCGTATCGCATTCACAGTTCTATTAAGAATGTTCATGTCCTTTGGACATTTGGAACAACCGTTCTCTCTATTTGTTGCAATTGTAAATTACCAATGAAATTCATAGGAAATAACAAACTACACAAAATGTAGCAGAGTGTATCAAAGCAACTTTCTTTGGGAAGCTGCCAAAAATTGGAGATTACTGAGTGAATTATTTCCATATACCTACTATACCATAATATTCGAACACCACTTGATCAATATAATAAAAATCATAATACAGCGTATGGAAACGTAAATTGTTTTTGAAGTTGTTCAGATTCCTTGAATCTATTTTAAGATGTGCTTGAGTAAGAAAAAATTTACAAAATTTACCCCGTCCTTCTCTCATACACTTGCTCTTTCGAGACATGTAGTGCAAATAAACGAAAATCGTAAATTTAGAAAACTCAAAAGTTTAAAACTCCTCCTACAACATGATCGTCATCAATCCAGAACGAGCTTTTGCAGTGTTAAAGCGCCACGACGCCCGTAAGGTGCCTTTAACTGTTGAACCAAACGCTTCTTCCAATCTTGTAAGTATATTTTGTAATTGGCTTAATTCTTATTGTACGTTAAGATAACGACACTTTGCAATTGTGACTTTTTTTCTAAGGGATAATTACCGTTTGAATGCACTGGGGACTGGCAAATTGCCGCTTTGTTAATGTAGATAAATACAACCCAATTAAAATCTGGAAGAGACGTGCGTTTATGTGGGTGAAGGTCGTTCGCGTATTTTTGTGGACGAATCTGTTTTTTTAATAATAGCAAAATGTCGATGCTTTTTTATTTTCCGTACATTCGAGTTACTGGTTCCAAGACGCGTAACGGCACGTACCTATTTAATTTTTTTTGGCAATGGTTCAAATCAATGCAGTAAACTTGTCTAATTTGAAGGCATCGTATTGAAACATAATTATTTTGTTATACCTATTTATAGCCCCAAACGCAGAAACTTAAAATTGGATCCGTACGAGACCGTAATCGGTCAAAAACGCTTAGGACCAAATGGTTCTGCTACCATGTGAGTTGGCAAAGTGATACAATTCGTAAACAATTTTTGGAAAATTGACAAATTTGTCGTTGCTAGCTGCGCTTAGCTGTGGGAGTGCAATATCTTTTTCAAGAAAAAAATTTTCCGATTTGGATATTAATCACATCGTTTTGTCTCGCTGTGAAGGTTGATTTGTAGCGATTCCAACTTCCACCTTATCATTAATTTGGTTTTTCAACCTAATAATTCATGTATTTTTCTCCTACAAACTCCCATTACTCATTTTAATCTCTACCGATGGACGTTTGGTAATCTGCCAAAATCCATTTAAATGCACCTGTGTGCAGCTGAGGCTATGCAAAATACAGACATTGATTATCAGGTATTAATTCCACTTCATAACATTTCTGAGCTGCGTAACATATTTATAATGCTTGCATTGCGCCGATGGCCAGCTGAAGGGAGAGTTTGGTACAATCACAGGGATAATGGATGTCCCATCACTTTCTTAAACTGCTTTAATTTTTGATCAGTTCAATTGTGTTAGTCATTGGATTTGATTCATTTTCAATAGGCTTATAACTTGTCATGCATATAGGTCAACTGTCCAAGCGTTTGACCGTTATCGTGTTCACGGCAGGGGCGGTTTTTGGGGGGGCGACAGGGGCGATCGCCCCCCCTAAACATACTGCTCAATTGTTTTTTTATTACATTAGGTTCACATAATAATCGAATTAAATAGACCTAACCACAAACCACCTGACGGAAAAGTAAAATTGAATAAAATAGGTACAAAATAATGCCGGCGGGGGCGGAATCGTGTATTGTCCAGACTGCGACTCACGACTGTACTTTAGCACTATCATTATCGCCTCTCGTATTTTTTCTGTCTTTGTCAGTATTCGGAAATTAATGCGGCAATAGATAGTTTAACAAAAAAATACAGCTGAAATTGGGTCAAAGCTACTCAAAAAAAATTCCCGCGCACCTCTGCATCTGCAATTCTGTAGTTTTTTTATTTTCGCCCCCCCCCCTGAGTGGATGTATAAAACCGCCCCTGGCTTCACGGACAGACGGACAGACGCACCCTAGACTCCTATATAAAGCTTGCATCGCTTTGCTCTGCCATTAATAATGCGGTCATTATTAACTAGTAATCAATAATAAAGAACCGTCACCCTGTCATATTTAGAAATCACAATCCGAAATTTCGCTCAAAAACGTTTATACAATTTCTCTAAAATGAATAATTGCCACCATCCGTCATTTCCAGAGAAATCTCAACGACAGAACAAACAAAATACGGCCTGCTTGACTTTTACTTCCACGCACTTGATTGGCATGTTAAACTAATAAACAAAAAATTCTGTCCAACCGTAGGTACACTTTCTTAACAGTATAATATGTTAATTTAGAAGACGTGAAGTCTAGCTTCAAGTACTAGTCGTGAAAAAATAGTATATATACCATGGTAAAGAGGCCTATTATTGGCTTGGGGGGGGGGGGCAAAAATGAAATAGCCTATCAAAATAGGACATACGGTACCTACATATAGCGAAAAGTATTGGGTTTTACTAGATTTGTCTGTCTGACTCTTTGGTAATACGCGATTCGCCCTTTTGTAACTGTGAGAAATCTTCTTCCCTGTTACACCAAAAGATCACAAAAAATGCTATAAGGGCGTAAAAGAAAGACACTCAAAGCAGGATTTTCCTTTTTGTGATATACTAGCTACTTTATAAGTTTCTGCAAGCAACACAAATACTACTTTCTTATATCTCTCACATCCTGATTTAGCCAATTGTATATTCACAGAAATCAATAAAAATCATCTTAATGTTTCTAATAGACAATGTCTTCAATTATTGTACCTATCTAGTTAGCCGTGCACTTTATCCGAAATCCAAGAAGGTTTTATCTTCGACCCATTAAGCTCTCCATTGAATCGTCTCTCTAATCCACTAGCCCCCAGGCCTCTACGATTAACAATTGAAAATGCTAATCCTGTCTAAAGAATTGGGTGAGAACCATATATACAACTTCACTCCCTCGACCAATGTCACATTTTACCATTGGTTTCCATCCAATATTAAACTCTTCCAGTTCGTGTCGATTTAAATGCTATGCGTTTATTACCAACCCTTAAAAAACACCTTACATGTAATCACCATATATGCGAAAAAATTTTGGAAAGAACCTCACTCTCGTCCTATTGTAAAACATTTGAAAATTTGGCTGTTTAAACTAAACAAACTACAGCGTAAACTAAATCTTCTCGGATTTGTTTTTGATCTGCAAATCATTAT